CCTCTGTGCTGAGTGGAGGGGGCTGGATCTGGCTGTGAGGGAGGGATTTTGGGGGTCTATCCCGCCGCAAACCCTCCAGGGAGAAAGAGGTGGCTCAGCCAGGGCGTGCAGGCAGCGAGGGGCGGGGTGGTGTGGGGAGCAATATCACCCAATCTACAGGCCAAGCCTTCAAAAAGTGCCCTGAGATCACTCAAATCCCTTCCAAAACGGCATCCAGGCCACCAAAAACCACCTGGAAATGCTGGGACAGGCCGAGCCAGTGCAGCACCACCCTGGTGCTCCCCAGCTCCCTGTTGCACAACGTGGCCTCAGCCGTGTCCAACCCGCTGGCATGGCAGGCAAATTAAGACCAGAACTCAGGAGCAGCAGCTCTTTAAAACACGTCCCGCTGCTCAGAGCCCTTCCCAGGGGCCGTGGGACATGGTTCTCATTCCTCTGCCTGGGCTGGGGTTTATTATTTCCCCCTCTATTGTGCAGAGTCCCCTTTATTCCCTGCATGCCTGTCCCCCCCGGGGGCCGAGGGAAGCAGTGTGGTTTTATTTCTTGTGCTCAGACACGGCTCTTTGCCTGCTCCCAACCACCCTTTTGTCTTTTAAACATCATCTCCGGGCCAGAAATAGATGGCCCCTTCTCCTTCCAGCCCTGCAGAGCAACAGGTGAGTTGAGACCAACAGGGAGGGACATGAGGGCCAAATTCATTCAGGTCACTAATAAATGGGTTTAAAGGTTATTTTTATTTTTTTTCCTCACCATTCCCGATGTTTCCAGCCGGGGTTATTTGGCATCAACCCCTTTTTCGAGGATGTGCTGTCCTGTAGGGTTCTCATCCCGCTTTTGGGTGACCCAGGAGGTTTGGGGAGCTCTTGGAAGTGCCACCAGTGTGGACTGGATTGTCCCAAGTGTCCCTTTGTCCCTTGTGCCCCCCTCGTGAGGCATCCCTGGCACGGGGAAAGGCAAATTCAACCAGGGGACATCCTGGTTGGGATCCTGCACCCTGGGACACATCCCTTTGCCTCGGGGGACGGGGGAACATCCCGGCACGGGGAGCTGCGATTCTTGGGCGGGAAATGCCCCGTAAGAGCCAGAAATTCCCGTGCTCTGAGTCAGGCCGGGCTCTCCTTTCCCAGAGTCTGCTCCTTTCCCTCCGATTTAGCGGCTCCAGCCGGGAACGAGCCGTGACAGGCCCTGGCTTTGCGGGCAAATACGTCTTTAGAAACCGGAGGGCTTTATCCCCTGCAATTATTATCACTTGAATGTAGGTCGGCTTGACAGCTTAGGTGGAAAATCATCTTCGGAGCGTTCCAGCAGCTCCACGCTCACTGGCCTGTTAATTCCCACCCCGTCTCTCCTTTTTTAGGGGGGGAAAGTCGGTGTTTCACCAGCAGAGGTGAATTTTTAAGGCGGGTGTCTCCTCCCAAAGGCACAGGGCGGGGGGTCGGGGTGGCAAAAGCACCTCCCCAGGAGGGGGGAGATGGGGTGGGAAATGCCGGCAGCTCACTGGGGATGCTCCCAACTGCCCGGGGCAGGGATTCACTCCCTGAAGGATCCTTTCATCCCTCTTCTCTGTCCATCCCGGCTCGTCTGTCCGTCCCTCCCTTCCCGCAGCTCCTTCCCGGCTCCAGGGAAACGCAGGCTCTGCCGCATCCCTGCCGGGAGAGGGACCGTTCCGTCCTCTCCCCCTTTCTCTCTCTCTCAGCCTCCCCGCGGTGTTTTTCCCCTCCCGAAATCACAACTTCCACCCTCCCCAAAAGCCTCCCCGGCTCCGAGCCCCCTCCCCCGGCCCTGCTCCATGAATGAACGGTTGGTGGCCCCGCGATGCCATTTCCATGGTGACAGATGGCAGCGGGAAATGCGGGGATCAGGGTCACATGAGAGCAGCGGTAAATTCAGGAGGTTATTTATAGGCTGCTGCTCCAGCGTTTATGGAAATGCGTCTGCCTTGGCCCGTGGAATCAGCCCTTCACCAGCTCTCCGGGGCACTGCTCTTCCAGGAGACACATTACTCATGCTCTGCTTTAATCCAGACTGTTCCTGCTGTTCAGGCTGGGCTTGGAAAAGTACCGGGCAGAGGGTTTGGGGGGTATTTTTATTTTTATTTAGTTTTTTTTTTATTTTTTATTTTAAGCCTCAGCCTCTGAATCAGCCTCAGCAGAACGCAGCCGTAACCTTCTCTCATCTGCCCGTGGCACCTCCTGTGCTCAGCCCTGCTGTGGGCTGCAACCCGGGATTTTGGGCCTGAAAATGTCCCTGGCAGAGCCCAGACCCAGCCTGGTTTTCAGCCCAGCCTTTGCTTTCGGCTCTGGCACAGCTGGAAATCTTTGCCTCAGTTTACCAAGCAGCTCTTGCCTCGGTTTCCCCCGACCAACACCGCTGTGGTGCTTTCTGGCCAGTCCAAGGGGGATCTTCAAATCCACGGGGGAGGGTTTCTGACACCTTGAGGTGACCATCGAGCTGCCCTCTGCCCATCTCCCAGCAGGCTCATCCCTGCTCCCTGCTGGGATGTGCAGGAGCAGAGGAGCTCAAGGGCTGGGTCAGCCCCTCTTAATAAGGTTCCTTGATTTCTCTTTGCTTAAGACCCCCCCCTTAATCAGGCCTCTGGATCTCCTTTGGGATTAATCTGGCTGTGCAGGGAGGTTCCTGCTGCTGGCACTTCCAGCCCAGGGATCCCTTCCCATCCTTCCCAGTTCGTGCCCATCTCCCCACGGAGACGGTGCCTGGATGCAATAACATTCCCCATCTCTGGAAATTAGAAAATTGTGGAATCACAGAGTGGTTTGCTTGGAAAGGGACCTTAAGGATCATCTCCTCCCACCCCCTGCCAAGGGCAGGGACACCTTCCACCAGCCCAGGTTGCTCCAAGCCCCGTCCAACCTGGCTTTGGACACTTCCAGGGATCCAGGGGCAGCCACAGCTTCTCTGGGCAACCTGTGCCAGGGCCTGCCCACCCTGTCCCCTGTGTGTCCCCACCGGTGTCCTGGATGTCTGTCCTGTCCAAGCCTCCCTTTTTCCCAGCCTGGGAAACATCCTTCCCTTCCCCATCAACCCAAACGAGCCATCCCCGGGAAGCACCGTGACAAAACACCATTTAAACCCCAGAAACCACCACGGGGGAGCTCCCAAGGAGTGACCAAGAACCAGAGCAGCCCCTTGGGCAGGCTTTGATCCACCTCCCACCCCATCCAGGTTGGTTTTTTGCATCATTCCCGAGCTCCCTCAGCCCTGCTGAGGTCCATCCCCCTCCGGGATGGGCAGGGACACGGCCACAAGCAGAGCACTAACCGGGGATTTTACAGGGTGTGTGTGTGTGATTTTTGGCTTTATAATTCACGAGTGTGAAGGGTTTATTCCCTTTCCAGTGCCGTGCCGAGCTGGGAGAAGAGCAGGTGTAATGGAGTGTGGCCTCATTCCTCCCCCGGGGGCAGGAGGGAGCGCTCCAGCCGCCTGGCCGAGCTCCCAAATACCTGCGAGGATTGATCGTTCCGTGCCTAATAGGCTGGAAAGGGAAACGGCTCCAAAGGCCAGGAATGTGGAGAAACATTGCCATTGCCATCCAGAGGCTGGAATGGTGCTGGAGCTTTGAATCCTCTGGCGTTTGTCTCTTGTAAATGTGGTTTTCCCCTCCTGTCAGGGTTTTTGGACTCTGGATATTGGTAACAGTATCCCCAGCACCAGAGATGTCCAGGCTTCACTGCCGGGGGTTGGATGAGCTGAATTTGGGTTTTTTAGGACCAGAAGACTTTAATAATTTCCACGGGGTACTGAGCCAGCCATGAACTCCTTTAATAAACTTACAAACATTTCTGCAGGGACAACAGGAGTACCTTTGCAATCCAAGTGAAACACTTTTCACAGCATTTTGGATTAAAATCAGAAGGACAATTCCTTACCTATGTTATCAAAAACTTTTCAAATTGTTACTCCCTGTTTTCCCCATTCTCCCTGCTGTGGTTTTCCCGATTAACCCGGTGAGGGATTTTTTGAGGGGAGGGGTTTTCTGGTGTTGGGCTCCTCTCTCCCCACGCCAAAACATCAAAGCTGCCTCAGGGGCTGCGAGAAATCAGGCCCCAAGGGCTGGATTTGGGATCTGCTGGATCCCAAATTTAATCATCTGCATTAGAGGTGGGTTAAAGGTGCATGAAAGGTGGAGACCTCACGGCACCTTCCAGGACCTGAAGGGACCTACCAGGAAACCAGAGAGGGACTATCCATCAGGACCTGGGGTGGCAGAGCAAGGAGGAATGGTTTCACACTGAAAAAGGGGGAATTTAGGTGGGATATTGGGACGAAATCCTTCCCTGGGAGGGTGGGCAGGCCCTGGCACAGGTTGCCCAGAGAAGCTGTGGCTGCCCCTGGATCCCTGGAAGTGTCCAAGGCCAGGTTGGACGGGGCTTGGAGCAACCTGGGCTGGTGGAAGGTGTCTCTGCCCAGGGCAAGGGGTGGGACTGGATCTCTAAGGTCCCTTCCAAACCAAACCATTCCACGACAGTAGAGGAAAGCGGTGACCCCTCCCCCTAAACACTCTCCTTCCCCCGGGGGGCTTCCCTGGGGCGGCTCTTTTGGGGCATTTCGGTGGGTTTTACTTTCTCCCGCAGCCAAGCCGAGCCCACCCCTCGTGCCGGGACTTGACTGGTTTTTTTCTAACGCAAGAGCCTCCCTCGGAGCTTGGGGAGGAGGGGGGGGAGTTGTGGCCCGGCACCCCAGCTTTGACGCGCAGCCCTGTGACTCAAGCCTGCGTCAGGGCTGCGTGTCCCTTCCCATTGAGTATTTTCTTCTTTTTTTTTTTTTTTTTTTTTAAATTTTTCCTTTCCCCCCGCTGCTTCCCCTCGCCTCTAATTGCTTTCCCCTTTATTTATTTATTTATTTCTCGGGAGCCGAGCGGAGTTACCTCCCTCCCTCCTTTCCCCGGGGCGAAGGGGAGCGGGGCCGGGCGAGCACATCGCGCATCCACCGGGCGGTGGCGGGGCCAGGGGACACGCAAACACACACACACACACACACGGAGCCGAGCCACCGGTACCTCGGAGCTTCCCCGCCGCGCCCTGCCGAGCCGTGGCCGGTCGCTGCTCCCCTTTTTCCCGGTCACTGCCGCTCCCGTTTTCCCGGTTTCCCGCAGCACCGGCAGCCTCCGACCGGTCTCGCCCTCCCACCCACCCCCCCCGCACCGGAGCGGGGGGAAACCGGGTGATTTCCATAGGGAATTCGCGCCGTTTCCTTCGGGATCGGGCCGGTTTTTCCCGGCATAGGGTCGCTTTCGTCCTCCCCGCAGCGCCAAGGTAAGGATGCTCCCCCCGATCCCCCCGATCCCCCCGCGCGGGTTCTGCTCCCGGGGGTCTCCCCACACCTCTCCGGGCGCTCCTGGCTCTGGGTGTCCCCTCCCCAGCAGGTTTTTTTTGGAGGGGAAGATGCTCAGGGAGGAGTCCGGGGTGGGGGGGTTGATGGAGGGTTCACCTAAGCCTGGAGGCATCAGGCGTGGCCCTAAGGGTGGTGGCATCCAGGGCTGGGGGGTGGGGGGGACACTGAGAGCCGGCAAAAACCACCCCGGGGGGCTGGGGGGTCACTGGGGGGGGTGGCACTGGGTGCCTGCCCGGCTCTTGTTGGTGGGGGGCTCATCCCCTTCTGAGGATGGGTGGAAATGCAGCCTCCAGGTTGACCTTGAGGATAACATTGGGAGAGGAGGAAGCGTTTGGCTGCCATGAATATTTCGGTCCTGGCCCCCTGAACTCTGGGGGTGTGTGTAGTGTGGTGTTAATTGCCCCCTTCTTTTATTTTTTATTTATTTTTATGCTGCTCCCTGAGTATGGATAGTGGGGCTGGAGGCAGAGAAATGGGGCTTGGGCTCCTGATTTTGTGAAATCCCCGGCACTGGGTGTGGGGATGCACCCAAAGGTGTGTGTTCCGAGCTAGGCCAGGTCCAAATATCCACCATACCGGGGAGATGGGGCTCAGACCCGTGGGGATATCTGCTCCCAGCTCTTTGTAGAGGACCCAGAAGGTGAAATCCTGCTTCCCCAGATCATGCCTTGTGTCTGAGGCACCTGAGGTTTGAGTCCATCAGGAGCTGATGCAACTATTTCTGGTCCGGGTAGGAAAAAAACCCGGAGCTATTCTCGGCAGGGCGGAGAGTTTCTGGCGGATATTTCTCCAGAGGTGTCAGGACTAGGTCAAGGAACCTGGCTGGGCTCTGCCTGCAGCTCAGCTGCTCCGAGGGAAGCAAAATGTGGGTCTGAGCTGTCCACTGGGATGAACTGGAGGTGGCTCCTCCAAAATCAATTAAAGGAATTAAAGGGTTTGGTTTAAACCAGGTGGACGCTGCCACTTCAGGGTCCCACAGGGCAGGGAATGGGGAGTCCCGAGGATCAAACCGACCCTAAACCAGCTGCTGACCTGCAAATCCAGGCAAAACCAGCCCCCCCTGGGAGGAGAGGCTCTGCTTTCGCCCCATCCCGGGCTGCTGTTTGGAACTGTTTGTTTACAAACGTGGCAGCAGCATCAGGAATTACAACGGAGGGGAGAGTGGGACCCGCGTGCTGCCCCTTCGGGGGTTTTTTTGGGGGTGAATCTCGGCTGGTTTGGGGGTTCAGCCACCAACCCTTGGGCTGGAGCTGAGTTACGAGGCGTGACTGAAAAATGTGAGTGGAAAAAGATCATCTGGTGAATCAAAGCGGGCCCTGGGGGGTTGGGGGGGGGGGATCATATGATGTCGCTTCGCTCCGGTGTCACGTTATTGCAGCTGATGGGTGTTTTCATGATACCCAACGAGACGGGGAAGGAGCCCAGAGCCGATGAATCAACGGGCTCCTGGCGCTTCGTGACAAACCCGAGTGCCAAGGTTTGTCCTCCTCCAGGGTCCGTCTCACGACCCGGGGGCAAAACGGTCTTTTCCGGAGGTTTCTCGGAGGAAAAAGCGGCTGCGAGGCGTGAAAACCCCGGGGTGGGACCGGCACCCACCCGGGGTGGAAAAGGGCACCCACCAGGTGGGAAGGACTCCCAGTTCTGGAATGGGAAGGGCACCCAATATCCGGAGTGGGATGTGAACCCACCTGACACGGGGAAGGCACCTTTGGGTGGAGCAGGGGCTGGAGGAGCCACCTCTGCTTCCCTCCAGAGGAACCGGGGGGGTTATTTATAACCTCGGGGCGCTTCTCTGGCAGGAGCCAGCGGGGTGGGTGTAAGACAGAAGCGGGGGCAGCTCTGACTCATCCCAGCGGCCGCGGCACGGAGCGAAAGCGGGACGGGGGGTCTGTTTGCACGGGAAGGACACGGAGCCCCTCAGGCCCCTTTTGAGGGGGGGAAATGCCAGCTCTGGGTCATGGGAGCGCTCCAGGATGGGAGTTTGGCTCCCAGCAAAGCCTCTCCTGTGCTCTCCCATCGCCTCACACCCACCCACCCCAAGTTTGCGCCTCCCCAGGCGTGAGGGGGTGAGGAGTGAAGGCACCCGGGTGGCACTGAGTCACCCCTGAGCCCTCTAATTAGCTGGGCGTTAATTGGAAGGGCTCGTTATCAAAAGGGGAGAATGGGAGCAGCCCTAATGAGCCCAGATGGCAAACCCCTTCCCCGTGGAGCCAGAGGCCGAGCGGGGAGGAGCAAACCCCAGCAGGAAATAGGTTTGAGATGGAGATGTCTTGGAGCAGCTCTGGCTGCTCCTCCTCTCCCTGGTGGGAGGGAATTTTTGTGGGACAGGGGTTCCAGAAAGGTCCTGGGTGGGGGGTCGGAGCTGCAACTCTTCTGCCTTGGGCAAAAATCTCCTCTTGGGGTTTGGAAGTGGAGGTTGGACAGGGTTCGGGGGGTCCTGCCCTTGGTTTCTCATGGCTTGGAAGAGCGGGATGCTTCCCAAAGGCAGGACGTCTCCCAAAGGACTGGCTCTGCCAGGACCATCCCTCTCCCACTGCAGAGCCTCTCCTGACCATGGGAAGCAGCAGGTAGGGCCTGGAAAAGGTGTTTTTTTCCCCATGATTTGGGCTCGTAGGATGTGCACCCCGGGCTCCTTCCCCTCGCCCTTGGCCGTGCAGGACCGAGGGACAACGGGAGGGATGATTGTTCCTTCCCTCTCCTCTCTTTCCCGGCCTCCCTGATTCCTGAGTGACCTTGGATCTGTCCCTTCTCCTCCCTGCTCCAGTGTCCCCACCTGCACGGAACAGCCTGGCCCCAGGGGCAGGATTTCCCCGGGCTCTGGGGGTGGGGGAGCTGCAAATCGATGCTCAGATCTCCCAGCCCGATTCCGAGGGAGGATTCCCACCTCCCGAAATCCCTCTGTGCCTCTGCCCCTCCACCCCCCCCCAACCCTTCCCCGCTCCGTGACCTTGATGGGGTGGGCAGGACCTTCCCGGGCCTGGTGAGCCAGATCCTTCACCAGGAGCTTCATCAGGAGCTTCTTCCCCCTCTCCTTTAGGAGCTGTGGGGGGTTTGAGTGGAAGCTCCGCAGCAGATGAAGAGGGGGGAGATGCTGGGACAGGGAGGGACCACCAGGGACACCCCTCCCCCCCCCCCCCAAG